ACTCTTTCCTCAAGCTTCTGATTTGCTCATACAACTAGCACAACACAAGTATTTCTTTTTGCCCTTTTGGATATACTTAGCATTACTTTATTCAGATCTTTATAAATTTTATATTTTTAAATTTATTTAGAGCAATAGTACTCCAATATGAATCTTCTCTTTTTTCTTTTGATATCGGTTGGGTAGTAGTCACTTGTGCTTGTATCCTTCTTGAAACATAGGTTTGATTAAAGGGTAGGCAAACAGTAAACCATAACCATATACTTAGGAAAGTTAATTGATTCCTCAAAAGTGGTTTGCGATGTTGGCCCTCGCGATCGTGGTTTTCTTCACATTGGTGGCACAATAACCAGCGACGGCAGTAGCAGTGCAAAGAAAGAGGGGTTGAATGAAATGATTTCTCTTTGGCCCCTTTGATTGAAGATGAAGAGAAAATAAATGTACTGTATAATATTGTATCAATTGGGGGATATTAAATAGATGAAGAAAGATCATGCTAAGATGTGGGCTACCCCACAGCATAAATAATAAAGATACCATGCCTAATTGGAAGGTCCATGCATTTAAGGCAGCGAGGTGAATCCACGTTGCAGGCATTGTCTCCATTAGGAGCTGGTGCTACTTTAAAAGTTATTTAATGGTATAACAAGACAAAGTAATGGGGTAAAGCTTTGCCAACCAGGTCTGAAAAGGAAAGGATATACTACAAGAGAGGGCAATTCACATGTGTTTTAGATAAATACTTGTCCTTTGATTACTTGAGAAAGTGGAACAAGCAGGCTCTACAGTGTGACACTCAAAATCTCACTCATACCAGGGAACTTAACAAAGTGTCGCAATAACTAATCATGTGGCTTGGACTTTTGAAATTCATTGTATAAAAAAGTGAGAGAAAATAAAAAACCACCGGGAGGGGGAATGGGTAGAAAATGGTGGTGGGATCCTCCCTTAATAGTTGGGTCATATTCGCTTTTAATAATCCTAACTGAGAACAGATTCTTGACAAGATTTCATAGTGGCATAAATTGTGTTGGTAAGTGTCTTGAATTCTATAATATCTAACTTGTAGTTGACCACAAATGGAGGGCAGATAACAAACAAATAGATCATCTTGAATTGAATCCAAATATAAATACTTTTCCAATTATTTTTTCCAGTCCCTTTCCAACTTGTTCTCTCTCTCTCTCTCTCTATCAGTACACTCAAGTCTCAACTTGCGCCCAGAAAGAACGGTCAACAATGAATACTAACCATAGGGGGGCCCTTATCTGAACAATTGCCTTCCATTGATGGAAATAAATTTGGTTAAATGGATCTGGTACATCAATTGGTCAACCGAAATTAAGCTCAAGTATGGACGTTTTGTATCCAATTTTTTGCTTTCCCTAAATAAAAAAAAAAAAAAAGAGAGAGAGAGAGAAAGAAGGAAAAATTGCAATTTTTCAACTCTTTTTCCCCATGTTTATCTTCAAACCTAAAAAAAAAGAAAAAAGAAGAAAGGACTTGGTTCTGGGAACTTGCGCTGAAACAGGCATCAGGAAAAGGGAAATCAAAAACAGATTTTTCTAACAGTCACTGGCAGAAGCTGAGTAGCAGAGAGGGAGAATCACTACAGGGGAAGCATCGATTATTTATTGGATGCAAAATTGAAAACTTTGAACATTCAAAAACCCACCCGAAATGAAAAAATGAACCAATTAAAGTACACCGTACATTTTTTTTTCTTCTGTTCTGGGGTGTATGGTAAGAGTGAGGCTTGGATTCAGAAGATCAATAACTGTACCAAAAGACTGGTCCAGTTGGAACCAGATTCGATTAAAGTGAATCTGGGTTACCATTTAAAATCGAAAATGAAGTAATTAAGTATACCAACCTGGCCTTACCCTCAAGAAAAAATGAGAAAATAGTGTTACGATTCGAAAAAGGGTAGCTCTGAATTGTTGTTCTCCCTCTAGCAGGAATAGAGAGACCATTAAATAGAAAAGAAGTACAAATAATATGTTAAGTTAGCGGTAGGAGCAGCAAATGGGGTTCCATCCACAGAGAAGAAAAGAGAAAAGGAGTTTGTTACTTCCGTCGCAGGTCCCAGGTGGGTTGAGTGAGAACTGAGAACCATACACACATCACACATCACACATCACACATCATTTTATTTTTGATGCAACGTCTCTTTTCACCTCTCTCTCTCTCTATTTATATACATGTATGCGAGAAGCAGGCCGAATTTCCATCCATAATATACAATATACATCGATTCGGACGATAATTTTTTTTTATTATTTAACTTTTATAGGTGTCTACACATTTATTCATTACAAAATATATTACAATATTTACTATTTGAGTTTGATGGATATGTAAGAAGTGTAAAATGTTGATCGTAAAAAAAGAAAGTATAAAATAAATTTCAGGTTAATATATATATATATATATATAAGAGTTATAATAATATGATATAATTTTTATTAATTATTATATTATTTAATAATTTTTTATTAAATGTGAATTTTGTAAATAAAATCGTTAAATTAAAAATTTATATCACTTTATATGTTTATATCAAATTTTGTTAACATTAAACAATAACTTGAAAGTAATCAAAGTGTTCATATTTTAATATATTTTAAAATATATAATTATGTCAATTTTATTTTATAAGAATTAAGTATCAAATCATCTTGAATTAATATAAAATTTTATATATGATCTAATAATAAAGAACTTTTAATCTAACAATTAGATTTACAAAATTCACATTTAATATAAAGTTATTGAATGGTGTAATATTTAATAAAAGTTACATCGGTGTTATTATAATCATCCTCTCTCTCTCTCTTTCTCTCTCTCTCTCTCTCTCTATATATATATATATATATATATATATATAATTTCACTTATTTTACATAATTTTATAATT